CCTAGAGACAGAACATGGCAAAAGATCCTGGACAGAACCTGGCTACAGAACTTGGTTGGAGAACCTAGACAGAACCTGGCTGCAGAAGCCGGCTACAGAACCTGGCGACTGAACCTGGCCGGAGAACCTAGCGAGAGAACATGGCTACAGAACCTGGCTGGAGAACCTGGAGAACGTGGCTGGAGAACCTAGCAAGAGAACATGGACACAGAACTTGGCTGGAGATTGTGGCTAGAGATCCTGGCAAGGCTGCTGATCAACTGAATGCTGTCTCCGTGTCATACCTTCTTTGCTTACTCCGTCCACACCTTTGGGGACCCCTGGACCTGCTGGGGTTGGACCCCAGCAAATATAGATAATTTTTCATTCACTCATTTTACAATTATTTTAATACTTAGTATGTGCCCAAAATCTCTTAGGAGGTAGGGATACAGACATGGGTCCTCCCATCCAGGAGTTCATAGTCTTGTAAAAATAGAATTACAATACCAAATGTAACATTATTATAGAGGTCTGCGTTAGTGCAGTGAAAACAAAGAGAAGGGGTGTTAAATGACTTCCTAGGGTGGCTTCACAGAAAAGAACTTTTTTTCTAGATGTGAGATTAATAGCAAGATTCGCTTATGAAAAGAGGAAGCCATTTAACAAGTGATGGAAAGCCTGGAGAGCCCTAACTGGAACAGAGGAAAACTCACTAGTCATCATTCTCAGTCAGAGAATGTCACCTCATACTTACTCAGCTAATGTTTTTTGAGCAAGAACTGTGCTGAGCACTGAAGGATAAACAAAGGAATATAAAACATTTTCTACCTTCCAGAAGAGATTACATCTTGTAGAGAAGATGCAAAATTTCTACAAGTAATAGCAAGTCAAGGAAAAATGTGCAAAATAACATGAAAGGTAAAAGCAAAACACTTAAGGAGTTTAAGGGCAAAGTAAAAGTCAATAGCTTTGAGAATCAGACTGCATTATAGAAGAAGTGATAATTGAGCCCAGTTTTCAAATATGTGTAATATTTTACTGTTTGGAAATCAAAGTTTATTCGTGTTTAAACACTTATTGAGTGCCTGTCATATATGTACAGGACACTATGCCTGACGAACCCAGTCTCTGTACGCTGAGGGCTCTCAGTTATGGAGGGTAGAAAATACTTCGTTGAGTATCATCTGTATCTCAAGTGTTCTCATTGACCGTTAAAACAAGCTACAAGGTTAGAGATTTCTCTACCAGTGAGAAAAACTGAAGCTCATTGAGAAGTCACACATAGCCAGCACACAATAAGTGCCTAGCATCAAAACTCAAATCATTGTTCCGTACTTTAAATCAGAACTTAATGTGATATTTCCTGTTTTTTTCCTCCTGTTCTCCCCTTATTCCACCTGTCTGCTTGCTTTCTGTTTTGACATTTCCATGCACAATATACAACAGATGCTACATTATTACCTGAACCCAACCAGTTATACTTCAGAAGAATAAACAACAGTAGCTCATTACCCCATTCATTGTACAGACAATGTCAGCTCCTCAGTGTACCCACTCTCCAAGGCTTTTCCCCAGAATGAAAACTGGCCTCAGATATCCCACACCATGGATTCAGTGTGGGAAACAATGAAGAGATATTAGATAAAAGTCGGCAATCTTGGGATCTAAATACCCAAGTTTTACTGGCAAGAAAGAACAAAAAACTAGATTAGTAGCTCAGTTTGAAATCTACTGACGAAAAGCAAAGGCCTCATATAAGTAAACATTGTTGAAAAACAGTGATATAAAGGACACTGCCCTAGCCAGTTTGGTTCAATGGTTGAGCATTGACCCATGGACTGAAAGGTCACGGGTTCAATTCTGGTCAAGGGTACATACCTTGATTGTAGGCTCAATCCCCAGCCCTGGTATGGGCTCATGCAGAAGGCAACCCATCAGTGTGTCTCTCTTACATCAATGTGTCTCTCTGTCCCTATTCTCACTTTCACTTTCTCTCTCTCTCAAAAACAAAAGAAAGAAATCAATGGAAAAAATCGCCTTGGGTAAGGATTAACAAAAACAAGAAAGACACCTATACTCAAATAGCAGCCTTAGTAAACATCATTGTTCAACTTCAATTTGGTTTTCTCAACAAGTTTTATCTGCATTTTAGGTCTGTAGAAAAACAAGGAAACCTGGTATAAGTTGAAAATATGAATCGATCTTATACTTTAGTTAATGGTTGCTGGGGGTTGCACTATTTAAAAAGTCCTACTCTGTTTTTATATGGAGAAGCTGATACTTAGAAATGAAGACATAAGAAATATAATTTAGCCCTCGCCGGTGTGGCTCAGTGAGTTGGGCATCATTCCGTGCACCAGGAGGTTCCCAATTCAATTCCTAGTCGGAGTGCATGCCCGGTTTGTGGAACATGCAGGAGGCAGCTGATAGATGTATGGATCTCACATCAATGTTTCTCTCTCTCTCTCCCTCTCCCTTTTCCCCTCTCTCTCTAAAACTCAATAAAAAAATGTTTTTTTTTAAAAAGTATAACTAGAATTTAATTTTGATATACATAGCATCATATATTCACTGAGTTATTAATATATGACATTACTAGAATAGTTTAATACTTGAAACTATTCAGCTGAAACTCATTGCTGACTCAGGACACCAATCCTATATAATAAAACCTAATATGCAAATTGACCGAATGGCGGAACGACCAGTGGAATGACTGGTCGCTGTGATGTACACTGACCACCAGGGGGTCAGTTGCCTCCCATATGTGCCCTGACTGGGAATGGAACCTGCAATCTACGTATGTGCCCTGAGTAGAATTGAACTTGCAATCTTTTGGTGTATGGGACAACGCTCAACTAACTGATCCACCTGGCCAGGGCCCATTCCATTTTAATGTTAATATATCCAGTATTCTACAAACTTTTAAGTCATTTCTACATAGGAAATGTATATTTTTCAAATGTGAATAGTTATGTGAAGGTGTGTTTTGTAAATGCTTTTAATAGCCTTAATTTTCATCATAGAAAGGAAGCAACTGGGTATGTAATACCTCTTTCCTCAATCTCAAATACCCTAACCATTTAGTAAAAAAAAAAAAATTAAAAAATTAATTTACCTTTCCTTTTCTATGGAGTTACTTACCACTTTAATAATTTGTGTCACCCTGGCCGGTGTGGTTCAGTGGTTGGAGCGTCAGCACATGTACTCAAGGGTCACGGGTTTGATTCCCGTTCTTGGGTTTGATTCCCGGTCAAGAGCATGTACCTGGCTTGTAGGTTCTCTACAGCCAAGTCAGGGTGCATACAGAAGGCATTGTGTCTCTCTCACACTGATGTTTCTTTCTCTCTCTCTCTCTCTCTCTCTCTCTCTCTTCCCCCTCTTATTCTCCCTCACTCTCTCCCTTCCACTCCCTCTTAAAATTAATGGAAAAACTATCCTTGGGTGAGGAGTAATAAAAAACAAAATAAAAAATAATAAAACAACTGGGGGATGAGGGAACAATGAGGGGATAAAGACACATTTGTAATACTTTAATCAATAAAACATTTTTAAAAAATAATAATAAAACAGGTTGGAATTTATTTTAGTTAATTGCCCCTTAGGCTGATACAGTGATTTTTAACCAATGTGCTGCAAGAATTTTTAAAACATGCATTACCTGACTATTTAGTCTGGGGCACTGACCAATTTTCCCTTAGATTGTCAAATAGATTGTCACAGCCAACACAACAATAGCCATCCAGTGTGAATGCCCTGGCTTGAACCATAAATATATTAGTCATATGAGTTGCATCTTATTGATCACATCTCATAGTAATGTTGCATCTGATTGGTTAATTCTTTTTTTTAATTAAATCTTTATTGTTCAGATTATTACATTAGTTACTCTTTTTACCCAACATAACTCCCCTCCACCCAGTTCCCACCCCACCCTCTGCCCTCACTCCCCACCCACTGCAAATGTCAGTCCACTCCCTTTCTATCCCGCTGGTTCTATTATATTCACCAGTTTACTCTGTTCATCATGTTTTTTATTCTCTTGATTTTTATAGATTCACTTTGATAGATATGTATTTGCTGTTCATAATTTTTATCTTTACCTTTTTCTTCTTCCTCTTAAAGAATACCTTTCAGCATTTCATATAACACTGGTTTGGTGGTGATGAACTCCTTTAGCTTTTTTTTGTCTGTGAAGCTCTTTATCTGACCTTCAATTCTAAATAAGAGCTTTGCTGGGTAGAATTATCTTGGTTGAGACCCTTGTTATTCATCACTTTGAATATGTCTTGCCACTTCCTTCTGCCCTGCAAAGCTTCTGTTGAGAAACCAGCTGAT